ATCTTCTCTGTATCGTTCCAATTTTAGTATATGTGCTACCGAAGCGAGCACAGTACCTTGGGTACTTGAGGGTTATCTTTTCCTGTCGGATAGTAATTGGGTGTGGAATGTCTCAGACATTCCATACCCAGTGAGGAGGAAGTTGGGAGAGAAAGCACATGTGAGATCCAGGACCCACCATTTTGAATTGATAACATGGGTAATTGCTGCTCCTAACAAACCTAGCATTATTTGAGATGTTTTTGAAGTGTGGGTTTTTTTTAAGTCACATTTTTTATTTATTGCAGTGATCCCAGATCAACCTAACCCATGGAGAAAGTTCAAAGGACATCATATTTTGGCCATGATCTATGAAACAAACATCTCAGATACAAACATGCATTTAAAATTATGGAGGAAAAAAATCACATTTTACAGCAAAATAATCTGCTGAAAACATGTTAAAAAGTTTAAAGTAACAAAAGTTGAAGCAAAATGATTAGTCTGCCTATATAAAGTTTGTTGCTAAGCAACCACATCAATGGAATATTTCAATTATTATTTGAAGTTCTAGAGCTCTTCTTAGAAGTAACAAAAATAGACATTCCATGGCTAATGAAATCATCTCATAAAATATGAAAACCTGAGACTAATTTTCTGAAACAATGTCTCTGAAAAACATGGCAACATATTAATATTAAAACATAGAGTGAGGGCTTGGTTACTATAATCTGTTCTTTTCCATTCCATTCCAAAACAATTCCTTGTGTAGGCTACTGTGTTCTTTAACATTCAGTAAAATAATTGGGCACGTATTTCCTTTCTGAAATCATAACTATAGTCATTAAGCAGATGAGTGATGAGGCAGTTATACAACCTCCAGAGCTTCATATTTCTCCTTAGAGCACAAATTCCTCTTTAGATTTTAATATCCACATATTTTTGTATAAAATAAGAACGAATTAGGATGCCTTGCTATTAATTACCTGTTATAAACTGTAAAATTATTTTTACATTTGAATGTAAGTTTCCTTCTTCCATTCCCCAACTGGGATCTGGTCATCATTAAAATGAAATAGTAGAGGCTGGGTTTAGCAGTGCCACGTGAAATTACCCAGTACACTCCAACTTCTCCCGGTCAGACTATACCTGAAACAATCCTCAGCAAATGGCTGTTGCTTCTCTCCTTGACAATTCTTTTTTAAAATGAATAAAATATCATCTTCCTAGTTGAAACTAGTTCCATAAACTAATATTTCTTTTAGATTAAAAAATGAAAAGTAATGTTGTATCTGCCTTAGCGTGGTATTCTCCAGAGTCAATATTGCAGCAAAGATTCCAGTGCAGATAGTTAATGTTGGAGGTGATCCTAATTCAGCTGCAGAACCCTGGGAAATGGGGTAGAATATATGCCTGGAAACGATCCCATAGAAGGTCCAAGAGCTGGACTGTTTCTGGGAGAAAAAAGTCTCTGATTCCCTGGGGCTCTCAGGAAGCCACATGTGCAGAGGAAGACCTCTAAGAGATGCAAGTAGTAGTAATTGGATGTGGGGCCAATGTGTACTGAAATGGTGAGGCATCATGGGCACGAAGTGGTATTAATACTTCTGGGAACATCTACCAGCCAATAACCAATGGGAACTGAAGGGCAAATACATCAGCTCCCTTGCCATGTACGGGGGATAACTCTAATGTAAGTGCTATAATGGTGTTCAGGGTTCAGAGATCCAAAAACCCACAGCAATAACCTGTTTGATACCACCCTTTAGGTTTCTTGCTCTTACTTGCCTCATTTATGCTCCTATAATCAAATCCCTAATAAATTCACATCCTTGTCTCAGGGCCTGCTTCAGGGGGGAAAAATCAACCTAAAATATTGGAAAGTTATTTTAACTTGTGACCAGGACTTTTGCAAAGTGACAACAATTTCATATCAGTGGCAGGTAATTAGGAGCAAGATTGATTTCCATTATTAGTGTAAATGTCAAATTTATCTCTTCCTCTATTTTCTTCTCCCAAATGCTCTATCCAGATTAGTCATCTTACTTGTTGCACTGAATGCCCAAATTTGGCATTTGGACAAAGTCGTTTTCTTGAATCTTCTACCTGTCTCAGAAACTATCAATAGGACAGTGATTATCTCATCTGGGTTTTTCCAGGAGACTCTTAAGTGCTAAGGGTTCGTTCTCTCTCTCTCTCTCTCTCTCTCTCTCTCTCTCTCTATCTCTCTCTCTCTCTCTCTCCAATCATTGTACATAGATTTAATAATATCATTTACAAATTAAAAAGCATTTGATGAGGGATGGTGTCAGGACACAAACCTGGAGTCTTTGCTGCCAAACCCTGTACCTTTAGTAACTGCACTGTGTGCCCTCACCTCCACCCTCAGTAGAGTGTCTCCACCATGATAGTCACCTGTCATTGTGACTATTGATGGTGCCAGTTCCTTGGGTGGCCTGATGACCAATGAAGCACTCAGAATCTATCTTACCAGGAGTCATGAAACCTAAATGAGGCCAGTTTCTAAACTGTCCTACTGGTTTGAATTACCTTGACTTGAAGGAATATTTGTGAGTAGCCAAATGGTCTACTCTACAAACAATACTAAAGATATTGAATATGCACTTGATTCGTCAAGAAATAATAATGATGATAATAACAACAGTGATGGATAGCGAACATGTACAATGGCCAGTATAAGCCAGGCACTATGGTTAGTATCTTTGTGCATTTGCTAATTTAATCGTTATAACAATCCGAATAAGACAGTATTATCACCACTCTATTCTAGAGATGAGGAAATCTAGGCTCAGAGAAGTTAAATGGTCTGAAGTATAACAATAAGTAGATTTGAACTTTGATGTGCTTGAGTACCAAACTCAATAAAATTCGTTATTTTATATTCCATTAAGGAAGGTTCTATTAGAGATTAATTTTGAACCAATAATTAAAAATTACTTTTTGCCCTGGCTGGTATGGTTCAGTTGGTTGGGTGTTGTCCCTTGTACCTAAGGGTGCTATTCCTGATCAGACCACAAGATTTATCAGTGGGTATTAAAGGAAGACTGGAAAATAGGCTTGCTGATCATGTCAAAGAATTTAAGTAGCTGTCAGCTTGGTTTAACACCCAAACAGAAAGCACTTTATTAAAAGTCAACTTCAGCTAGCTATAGAATAAAATGAGGCTGGATTTGGTACAAAAAAATAACCTAGATTTCATGTTTCTCTCAAATAGTTGGTATTTGTCTGTCAAAAATTATTTCTCTAGATACTACAAAGCAGCTGTGAACACAAATTTCCCAGTGGAAAAGAGTTTCTCAAAGACTGGATAATAAAACAGAAATTCCTTTCAGATAAAGCAAGCATTCTATCAGTTTGGCTTTACCTTTCATATGTGTATCATAGAAGTAGAAGGGTAGGTAGGAGACTGGAGAACATTAGAAGACAGCATTGAATTTACTTGATATTCCTTTGCAGAAGCACTGTTCTCAGTGCTCTCTCTGCTTCCCCTCTCCACCCTAGGGAGCAGGTGACCACAGAGGCCACCCTCAGTGGACTTCATAAGTTATGGAGACTTCAAGACTTTGTAATTTGCTTAGCTTGAAACATATCCTAGATATAACTCCACAAAGTAAAGAAGACACAATGCTATGGCTAGGCTACCTCCATCACATCCTAAAATTCTTTCTTGGGATAAGGTAGCATCTTTCTCATCAAGAAATTAGGCATGAACATTTTTATTTCTACGGGGAGCCTATAAAAAATAAGTCAAGTAAGTAAATGGCATGTAAAAGTTTTCTAATATCCTAAAGTGTTACATACACTGTTCTCTTTCCATGCATCATCTTGATAAAGCATTTTATTACTAGGTACATGAGGAAAGTTGTTTTGTGTGACTGATTAAAACTATATTTTCCCTGGCGAAGGAATTTTATAGGCTGTCTCCAGGTGGGATAACAAATCACATTCATTAATCCACTCATTTCAAGTGGAAGCTTCAAGTGGCACTTCCTAATTTTAATACACTTCATAAATTTGCTCTGCTCTCTAAACCTTCTGCTTAATTTCTTCCTCAACCTATTTTGCTTTTTCAATGTGGATCAACTGCCATTTCTCCCTCTGAATATTCTTTCCTCTGCTTGTCAAAGAACCATCCCCATTGGATCTCTCCCAAATAGGTCCTCATCTTCTCACACCCTATTGTTTGTCCTCATCTTCAGTGAAAGTATCCTACCCCATCTCCCTGCTCTTAATTCCCCCTCTATTTGATATTAGATTTTGTAAATATATTTTTTATTTGCAAAAACTCAGTAAAGACAGGTTTTTGAGGATACACTGCATGAAAGATGTTAAATACAATCAAATTCACTTTCATTTTTCTTTTTCAGAAAATTAAGGGCTCAAGTATTATTCTGCATATAACAGTTGTTGAGTTATCAGGCAGTTTCTCAAAATTCCTCCAGTACGTGAGTATACAAAAGGCTAACAAGGAGAGGCAGAAGCACTTTTGATGTATACCTAGGGAAAGATAATAACTTCAGGGTTCGGTTTCTGTGGAATGTTCAGAGACAGAAGTGACTTCTTATCCCTCCACAACTTGAAGCATTTTCTCAAAATTTCAGTGTAGTGTTTGCTTTGAGGCAAAAAAAAAATTATTCCCTACTTCAGTTTCTCAAAGTCTAAATATTATATGTGAGTTTAGAAGTCTTTGACCAAGTTTATAATTATGTAGAAAAAGCCAAAATACTTTAGGAATAAAACAAACCAGCCATTTTAAGCACAACTCGTCATTTTCCATGCTAATACTGGTTTGGAATTACAGCTGCACCACTAAAAAGCTCAGCTTGTCTCCTCCCATATCCTACCTATTGGCTGGCTCAGTGATTGACTCTCAAAGGCCACCAATTGTGGTTTCCTACTCTACCTTCCCATTAAAATCATCTGGAAAATGCTAAAATGAAATGGTAAACATAATACCCCACCTAAAACCAATTAAATTAAAATATCTGGGTCCCACCCTAGCCTTTTTGGCTCAGTGGATAGAGTGTTGGCCTGCAGAACAAAGGGTCCCTGGTTCAATTCCAGACAAGGGCACATACCTCGGTTGCAGGCTCTTCCCTGGCCAGGGCCCTAGTCAGGGCACATGCAGGAGGCAACCCAATCGATGTGCTTCTCTCACATCGATATTTCTCTCTGTCTTTCCTCTCACTAAAAATCAATGGAAAAATATTCTTGAGTGAGGATTAAAAAATAAAATATCTGGGGTCCTAAATGACTGTGGGTGTTTTTAAAATCTCCCCAAAGGATTTAATAGACAGCCGGAATTGAGAACTATTGCACTGACAAGAGACACAGATTTGGTCCATTTCTTCCTTGAGCCTGGAAACTCAATTTTGGAAAATAATGAGCAAAACCCTTTCCTCAGAAGGAAGAGTGGAAACACTATTGAACTGCAGGGGACAAGGTTGAAGGGAAAGAACAAAGAACCTCAAGTCTAAAGAGCCACCTTACATGAAAACCAATCACCCACCTATGCCTTCTGGACAAAAATATAAACCTTTATTTTTCAAAAAGGCTTTATCTTATTTAAATTATCTAGAATTAATTATGTTTTTCAATATTGTCAAATGAGAATGACTAATGACAAGTTTAAAAATAAGAAATCATTGAGTATCTGATGTGATAATGTACTAGTTATTTTGCCAAATAGAGTTAAGGAAACAGAAAATCAGAGACACGAATAAATTACCCCAAATCATATGAATGAATATCTATGTCTGTATTTCCTGAAAGAATATCCACTTTTCCACAATTTGTCTCCCTTGCAGATGTTTTTAACCAGTCAGAGAAAGCACCAAATGAGGAGCTTTTCTGGACTTAACTTTGACAGGAAAGAGAGAGGAGAAGAGGGCAGTGGAGCGGAGGGGAGGACAGGGGAGAGGAGGAAACTAATTGGACATGTGGAAACCTGACACCTGAGCCAATTGCCCACACTATCCTGGAATCAGTGAAAGAAAAGAAGAAAACATAAGCTGGAGACTTTAGGAACAGACTTTAAAACAAGAAAATGCAAAAGATGAATTAGAACATATTCACTGGAGGACACACAGAGACATGTGAATAACTCAGGAAGAAAGACAAGAAATAAAATCAGACTATATGCATTAAATAATCTAGTGCCACATCAAAGGTACCCCAATAACTAAAATTTTGACAGTTCGCTCTGGGCACAAATTAAACTAACAAAAGGGAGTGGAGTTAATGGAAGAATTAACACAAAACCAAGGAGATAGAAGAGTCTTGTGAATCTGCACTAACAGAGCCACAGTGCCCAGAAGAGTCACTAACGACCAGTCATTCAGTCAGAAAATATTTACTAGTATTATGCCCTTTAAGGCAGCAGCTACTGCCTAGGCACGGGAGATATAATGCTTGCCACAACTGGCATAGCCACTGCTCTCAGGGTGCTTATAACCTCCTAACGCCAACATATAAATAAGCCAACATGTAAAAATGTAATTTTAAAATGTAATAAATGCTCTGAAGTAAAAACAACAGGAAGCCTAGTACAAGGAGGCTATGACCAAGAATGGGGTCTCAGGGGAGAATTTTCCTAAAGTGGAGTGAATGCGTGTGTGTGTGTGTGTGTGTGTGTGTGTGTGTGTGTGTGTGTGTGTTTGGGAAAGGATCTCCCAGATGAGGACAGGTAGCACATGAAAAGGATCAGAAGGGAAAAAGTCTACAGCCCCTTCAAGAAATGAGTGCCATACATCTACACGATGGAATACTACCCTGCTATAAAAAAGAAGGAATTCTTACCATTTGCTGCAACATGGATGGAACTGGAGAGCATTATGCTAAGTGAAATAAGCCAGTCAGAGAAAGAAAAATACCACATGAACTCACTCATTTATGGATAATTGTGGGGAGCAGCTATAGGGTTAAGCCTCGGACTGACCTGTTGGCAAAGTCACAAACAAGTCCCAGCTTAGAGGGCACAGTTCTCTTAGCATAATTAGGCTTGACCTTATAGCGCTCCCTAGATCTTATCTGGGAAGCTAATGGACTGAGGGAGGTGCATAAAGTGGCCAAAACAAGTGAAACTCACAAGAACAGTGTAACTATGGTCAAAATAAGTGAAACTCACAAGAACAGTGTAACTATGGTAACCACTACCTTATTTACCTCTGACTATAAAATAAAGGCTCAGCTTGCCTTTGGATCTCTCTCTGTGGCCTCAACCAGGCACAGGAAGATCCATGGAGACTAAAGAGAGATATGCTGATCATCTGAATGCTGTCTCCGTGTAAATCATTCTTCAACGACTCCGTTCACACCTTTGGGAACCCCTGGCCCGCTGGGGCTGGACCCCGGCAGTAATAAACATTATAACCTGATGAACAAAAAGATAGATACAGAGGCAGAGAAGCAACACACAGACTGTCAAATTACAGCGGGAAGGCTGGGGAGGGTTTGCGGGGGGAGGTAAGAGATCAACTAAAGGACTTGTATGCATGCATATAAGCATAACCAATGGACGCAAGACCCTGGGGGGGGAGGGGAGGCTCTGTGGGGGGGGGGGGGGGGCCGACGCCGGGGGAAGGTCAATGGGGAAAAAAGGAGACATATGTACAACTATTTGTAATACTTTAAACAAGAAAATAAAATTTAAAAAAAGAAACGAGTGCCAGCTAAGTCAGAAAGATGGCCAGCCCATGGGAGAGGAGCAGGGCCTAGATCAGTGATGGTGAACCTATGACACGCGTGTCAGAGGTGACACGCGAACTCATTTTTTTGGTTGATTTTTCTTTGTTAAATGGCATTTAAATATATAAAATAAATATCAAAAATATAAATCTTTGTTTTACTATGGTTGCAAATATCAAATAATTTCTATATGTGACATGGCACCAGAGTTAAGTTAGGGTTTTTCAAAATGCTGACATGCCGAGCTCAAAAGGTTTGCCATCACTGGCCTAGATGAAGGGAAGCCTGCTAGGTTCTGGGATGTTTCCTTCTCTACTGAGGTGGTTAAGCAAGAAAGTCACGTGAGCAGATTTGCATGGTTAAAACTCACTTAGGCTACAGTATGGTGAACATAGATGGAAACAAGGCAGAGGAAAGAAATCAATTCTGATGTGGTCGGAGCCGTCCAGGCAGGAGATGACGGCAGCTAGGACGGTGCTGTGGCAATGGCACTGGGACCAAATGGACTCATTGAGTCACTTAAGAAACAAAATCACCACATTTGAGAGGTTTGGTGATAGATTTGGTGTGGGTGTGTGTGTGTGGGGTGGGGGGGTTCCTATGACTTTTACAACAAGAAAAAAGATTGATCAATGATGTTTTCTGAGCCAACTTATTATATTCACTCATATCTTCCTTTTTGGGGGGCAGGTGGGTAGCGAGTTCCTATGACTTTTACAACAGCTACCCCCCTTTTTTATGCCACTTAGATGGTAATAAATCTAGGTCATTTGGCCTGTAGAGCATCTCATTCTGCATCTGACTGCTTACTTCCTTGTGCTATTATTACCCTCTTCCTGTACCCGCTAGGTTTCCTAAAAAAAGTATCTCTGAAGGATCTATTGATTCTGGTTCAAGTTAATTTTTTTCTTTTTGACTAGAATACTTCATGGGTTGCACTGTATACTTCCTGCTGTATCACATCCTGAGGAACAACATGTCTGTGCACAACTTTTAGTGATGCTAGAAGTGTAAGTGGCATCAGCATGATCCTCCCATTATGAAGTTCCTTCCACCTTTGTAATGATCTTAGCACCCACTAAACATGGTTGCCTCAAGCCACTAAAAGCTTACTTAGATACAAGAGAATAGAGCACACAGAGATTTTCGCAAAGCATGAGTTGGTTTCCAATGCCCAAGCTGTTTTTGTTTTCCTCCAGCTACCCTGGGCACTTCTCAATGGCTCCTTAATTCTTCTGACTCAAAAAGGAAACACCACAGTGCTATCTTCAGTCCTTTTTCCTTTCTTTCCATACAGTCTCTTTTTAGTAAACTGTATCTACTATTTGCAAACTCCTTCTACTCTATGCAAAAGTCTCACAAAACCTACTTCTAGTTTCCATCTGAGTGGCAATTTTTAGGTGCCAACTAATCCCTCACTCTGACATAAATCACATTTGTCACCTTTAATTTCCAAATCACTTCCAGACCCTCTTTTTCTGCCAAGGATACCATGATTCTCTCAGTCACCATTGACTCGTCTTCCTCCTCCTCTTCCCTCATTATCTATATCAATAATTTGACAACTCTGTGTAATTTTTCTCTAACATATTGCTCTCATTTTTCTCTTTCCAAATCACTACCACCCCTTGAGTAATAGGTCATTATCTCTTGCGAAACTATTGCAAATAGCTTCTGAAGGGCTCTCCCTGCTTTTAAGCTCTGCCCTCTGCTATTCACCCTTAACCTAGGTCTGGAAAGGGCTCATCCAAATACAGCAAGAGTCATGTAATTCCCCTGCTCCAACAGCTTCACTGGAAATGCAAGCTGTTCGTGCCACTTGTGATCGGTCTCTTCTGCCTCTACTGACTGTTCCACTCAAGCATTACCCAGGCCTGTACCGCTGGATGGCTGGTCTCTGAGCCTCTTCCAAGAAGTCATGTCTATAACAAATCCCGCCTTCCTGAAGCTCAAACCAACCTTGATTACCAGCAACCTATTTATCTTTTTTCCTCTTCATTAAGTGATATATTTCCCCCCCAAAAAATGTAAAGACTTTTACAGCTGATAACTCACTTCATTTTGAAAATGGGCTGTATGCTAATAAGCACCGACTTTGTAATCATTCAAAGTGTGCATACATTTTGGGGGGACACCTTGTATATGTATATTATTGGCAATGATTTATATCAGTTCCCCTTCCTCTCTCTAATTCTACCACCCTAAGGGAATAATTTACTGAGCTCTCTTCCATAATTGCCCTTTCCCGTATATAAAAATAGATGCATCCTTTTTTCCTCCTGCCTGCACATCAGTCTTATCCTACCCTTGGACTTGGATTTACACCACTGGCTCCCCTGGTTCTCAGGCCTTCAGACTATGCCTGGAAGTACACTTCCCTGGGTCGC